CCCGAGACCCATTGCCTCCCACTTCTGTTTCCCATGCACGTCTCCCCCCCCATTTCCGATCCATTTTTCATTCCCTCGTAGGCTTGCGGCTATTCTCGCACTCGGCTGCTGTGCTGGCGGAATACCACGTGACGCCAGACCCCGGGCGACTGCGTAATACAAGGCGCAGTCGCCCCCACATGAATCTTCCGCCACCGCACGAAGGCGTAGACAGCGCCCCGTTTACGACGTTGTGTGAGAGTCGCTGCGAGCTCGCTGGGCTCGGGTGAGAGCAACCACGCCAGTAGCCAACCCCATCTTATTCACTCAACATGCACTGTTCATACTTCACCATGTTCTTGCGAACACGTCATGCATCCGAGGGTAAGCCCGACGTCGTCTCGTACCATGGCAAACTTGTGGACACACGCAAGTGGGTAGTGTCTTGGGTGGATTTCAATAAGACGATATTATTTCAATTCGATACTCAGCAGTGACATCTAACACTACATGACCCGGGTATGAGAATGCCATTTGAGATCGATGCTACAATAAACTTCGTGCCTCATCTTGTCAAGTTGGCACCTACTAGGGGCTAATAAATGTGTGCTGCATGTTCGACAAACTGTTCGCCCGGAGTTGTGCGCCACACCGTGGTCTTGTCTACGACGGGCTCCTCGCCCGTTGGGGCAAGACCATTGGTCGTGGCGCACTGGCGTCGGTTTGCAGTGCCCATCTACTTGAGGATCTGTGATCTAGGCTTTTTAGCTCGGACCCAGATCCTCGTCTACGGACAGATCTCGTCTACACCCACCGCAGCGACAGCGACGACAGCGACTCTTCCGGTACGGCTTTGAGTGAAATGCCTTCCCCCGAGACCCATTGCCTCCCACTTCTGTTTCCCATGCACGTCTCCCCCCCCATTTCCGATCCATTTTTCATTCCCTCGTAGGCTTGCGGCTATTCTCGCACTCGGCTGCTGTGCTGGCGGAATACCACGTGACGCCAGACCCCGGGCGACTGCGTAATACAAGGCGCAGTCGCCCCCACATGAATCTTCCGCCACCGCACGAAGGCGTAGACAGCGCCCCGTTTACGA